GACTACCTGTCTACCAAAAAAGAAATTAAATACGCTATGGTAAAAATATCATCATCCAGAGCATCTATAATTTTTTGTATACAGCATCCAGCATTCAATCAAAAATTACAAAGCATACCTGAAGTCAAGGTCAAAAGACTGGAAAAACAAAAGAAAAAACAGGCAACACATACAGACTCACAGGTTTGTAGAGAATATTCAGGTATGGACTTTAAACAAGTGATTAATATGTTCAAAAAAAAACAGAGAATTTCTCCCAGAATATAGCAATTTATAGGAATGTATCAAATGGAAATTTGATGGCTGAGAAATAACTGAAATTCAAAACTTGATAGAAAACAATGATACCACTACACACCTGTTGTAACAGCTAAAATCCAAACGACTGACAACATCAAATGTGACATATATGTGGAGCAACAGGAACTCTCTTATTCACTGTTGGTGTGAATGCAAATGGTACAACCACTTTAAAAGACAATTTGGCAGTTTCTTATAAAACTAAACATACTCTTACCATGTGAGCCAGCTACTACATTCCTTGGTATTTACCCAAATGAGTTAAAATATCCAAATGAAAAGGAAAAAAAGATTAAAAAACAAAAACAAAAACAGAGAAGTACATAAGAAACACAAGGATCTCAGAGAAAAGATCTAACACATGTAACTGGAGTCCTAAAAGGAGAGGGGAGAGAGAATGGCAGAAACAACACTTGAGGATTCACCAGTCAAAATTATCCAAAGATTAAAAAAAAAAGGAGGGGGAAACAAAAAAGAAAAATCAAGTCACAATTCAGGAGGCTCTAATAACCCTAGCCAGGATAAATACAAAGAAAACCACACTTAGGCAACCCTGGTTAAGTTTCTGAAAACCAAACCAAAAACAAAGAAAAACAGACAAAAGGGGAAAAAATAAGACTGATAGCTGACTTTTCAACAGAAATAATGGAAAGCAAATGACAGAAGAATTATATCTTTAAAGAGTTCAAAGAAAATGACTATAGGGAACGCCTGGGTGGCTCAGTCCATTAATCATCTGCCTTCAACTCAGGTCATGATCCCAGGGTCCTGGGATCAAGCCCCACAACGGCGGGCTTCCTGCTCTGCAGGGAGCCTGCTTCTCCCTTCCCCTTTGCCTGCCACTCCCCCCGCTTGGATAGTATGCTCTCTGTGTCAAATAAATAAAATCTTAAAAAGAAAAGAAAAAACAAAATGACTATAGATCTGGAAATATATAACTACAAATATATCCTATAAAAAAAAAGAGGGAAACAAAAACTTTTACAAACACTGAGTGAACTTATTGCTAGTAGTCAGTAATGAAAGGAAATACTAATGAGAGTTGTTCAGGCAGAAAGATAACTAACCCAGACAGAAACATGAAAATGCAGTATAGAATGAAGAGCAACAGAAAAAGTAAAGATGCAGCTAAATCTAAATAGACACTGATGGAGTGCCTGGGTGGCTCAGTCTATACAGCGTCTGCCTTTGGCTCAGGTTGTGATCCCAGGGTCCTGGGATGGGGCTGGGTTGGGCTCCCTGTTCAGTGGGGAGTCTGCCTCTCCCTCTCTCTCTGTCCCTCCCCCTGGTTGTGTACAAAGGGTCTCTCTCTTTCAAATAAAATCTTAAAAAATAAATAGACACTGACATAAAACAACAATAATGTCTTGTGAATATAAAATATATGCAGAATTAAAACAGACAACAACAATAGCACAGAAAGTGGAAGGGGGATAAAATGAAGTAAAATATCCTAAGGTCCTTGCATTTTCCATGGAGTGGTAAAAGTACTCATTTATAGAACTAAAAAGTCAAGAGTGCATGTTATAATCTATAGAGTAATGCACCAAACAAAATATAAAACAGTGTGTGACTAACAAAGTACCGAGAAGAATAGAAATAGAGAAGAACAGCCATGACAAACAGAAAACAAACATAAAAACAGCAGATTTGAACTCAAATATATCAGTGATAACATTAAATGTAAATGGACTACATTACATGGTCTACAAGTCAATAAAAGACCAATGTGAAAAGCAAAACTCAAAATATATGCTGGCTTTCGGCACAAAGAGAGAAAAATATTTCAGTACAACAGAGTATAAAATCCAGAAACAGATTTACAGAAATATATCCACTTGATAGATGATAAAGATGTCACTGCAGTACACAGGAGAACTGAAGGGTTTTTCAATAAATGGTGCTGGATCAACTAGTTATCCATATGGAAAAAAAATGAATCTAAATCTTTAACTTACATCACATAAAAATTAGATGCAAGGTAGATTATAAATCTAAATGTGAAAGACACAAAAAATAAAACTTCTAGAAGAAAATCAGCTAATTTCTTCATGACCTTGAGGTATGGGAAGAGATCTTAAGCAGAACACAAAAAAGACAAAAATAAAGGAAAAGATTAGGTTCCTCAAAAAGTTGAAAATAGAGCTACCATATGATCCAGCAATTGCACTACTGGGTATTTACCACAAAGATACAAATGTAGGGATCCGAAGGGGTACGTGCACCCCAATGTTTATAGCAGCAATGTCCACAATAGCCAAACTGTGGAAAGAGCCAAGATGTCCATCGACAGATGAATGGATAAAGAAGATGTGATATATATACACAATGGAATATTATGCAGCCATCAAAAGGAATGAGATCTTACCATTTGCAACAATGTGGATGGAACTGGAGGGTGTTATGCTGAGCGAAATAAGTCAATCAGAGAAAGACATGTATCATATGACCTCACTGATATGGGGAATTCTTAATCTCAGG